CGGTAAGAATCATGGCTTGCTATACAACCCCCCCACCCACCCCAATCCAGCTTGATGAAGATTTCTGGAGAACTCGAAAGTTTGCATGCTGGTTTTGTGTTATTTCGGTTGGTCTTAATTTTAAAAGTACCCAGCTTCTGTTTTGGGGCTTTTCTTTGCACCAAGTCAGCTACCTGAAACTTCAGAGACAAGGGTTTCCCAAGCTCGTGCGCACAGGACTGCTGCCGGGGGCTGGGGGAGAAAGCTACGTGTGCATCCGCAGCCTGATCCTGGGTAGGTAGTGCAAGGTAGGTAGTGCTGAAGGACGGACGAATTCTGCCTATGATCACTAGCATCGGGCTGTAAGGCTGCTACAATCCTGTGCTCGACCACTAAGGAGTAAATCCAGTTGAAGTCAGTGGAAGTTACTTCTGATTAAAAAAAATATAGGGCGTCAGGATTGCCATCTCTCGTGCGCTTTCTTAGAAACGATCGAAGCGGGATTTATACAGGGTCAACACGGTTTGTTTAAAGCGGCTATGAATCCGATGCGCATTCCGGGAAGGGGGGCGGGATACACTGAAAGCGGAGTAGCTGACTTTTGAGTAAGCATTCATGGGATCGGGCTCTCTTTCTGTGGCTGGCTGCGGAAGACGGGGACAGGAGGAGGGTGGAGGGGCGGTTGAGTCATTTGCAGCTCCCCACCACCGCCAAGCGCGCACACACCGCTCTCACACACAGTCGTCTTGTCTCGCTGGTTTCCGGCTTCCTGCTTGCAACCCGCCTTCGGTTTGACTCGCGGCTGCTACTGTGAAGCAGAAGTTCTCACGCCTCCTCGCCCGCGTGGGCCGCGTCCATTGCGTGGCTGCTGGTCATTTGGCTGCTCTTCAGTGGGCAGCATAAAAAACGACACAGAGTGGATTCAGTCCCAAAGTCTCCATGCAAAACTCTGGTCTTCAACCCAGAGGTTGGGACATTATTAATTTATTCATTTCATTTATACCCTGCCTTTCTCCTGAATGGAGAACCAAAGCACATCACATCTTTCTCTTCGATGTTATCCTCACAGCAACCCTGAGAGGTAGGCTAGGTTGAGGTGGGGTGGGTGGCCCAAGGTCACTCAAGCAAGCTTCTATGGCACAGTGTCCATTCCAACCTAAGTCTCCCAGAGGGGCTCCTGCTGGGCTCAGACCAGTCCTCACAGCAACCCTGAGAGGTAGGCTAGGTTGAGGTGGGGTGGGTGGCCCAAGGTCACTCAAGCAAGCTTCTATGGCACAGTGGCCATTCCAACCTAAGTCTCCCAGATCCTAGTTTGACCCTCTGACTGCTACACCACACTGGCTGTAGTAAGAGGGGCTCCTGCTGGGCTCAGACCAGTCATTCAGTTCAGTATCCTGTTTAAACCAGTCACTCTGTTTTAACCTAACCTACCTCACAGGGTTGTTGTGAGGATAAATGGAAGAAGAGAAGAAGAAGAGATTGGATTTATACCCCGCCCTTCACTACCCAAAGGAGTCTCAGAGTGGCTTACAAACTCCTTCCCCTCCCCACAACAGACACCCTGTGAGACAGGTGGGGCTGAGAGAGCTCTGACAGAAACTGCTCTTTTTCAAGGACAGCTGTGCCAGAACTATGGCTTGTCCCAAGGTCACACCAGCAGCTGCATGTGGAGGAGTGGGGAATCACACCCGGTTCTCCCAGATTAGAGTCCGCTCACTTAACCACTACACCAAACTGACTGGGAAAAGATGTTGTAAACTGCTTTGGATTACCCTTGGTTAGAAAAGTAGGGCATAAATAAACTACCCAACCAGTGGCCCTGAAGGACACAGAGGCCAAAACTACCTCCTGATGTTATCTCCTAGCACTGGTATTGAAAGGTTAACTGCCTCTGCATGTGGAGCTCCCCTTTAGTCACCATGGCTAGTAGCCACTGATGGACACACACCCCTCCTCCAGGAATCTGGCTAATCACCTTTTAAAGCCCTGGGTTCACCATGGCCATCACTACGCCATCTGGCAGCGATTTCCACAATTTATACTG